TTTTTTTTTCTTAAAACAAATGAGTTTTTGTGTTATTTAAAACACAAAATTTGAAGTTTTACATACGTGAAATGACCTCTACAATCAAAATAATGAACTTACCTATTATCCCAGAAAAGCTTCTTCTCATCTGTTTATATTCCCACCCTCTCAACTCTTCCTTCCCACTTCATGCCAATCCCTAGGCAACCATTCCTCTTGCTTTCTGCTGTCAGCATGATTATTTTGAGATGTGTCCATGTTGGCATTTTTGTCAATAGTTTTTCTTTCTTTTGCTGAGTAGTATTCCCTTGAATGGCTATACCGCAGTTTACTCCTTTACTTGTAGATGGACATTTGGATTGCTTTCAGTGTGGGGGCTGTTACAGATAAAGGTGTCATGAACAGTTGTTGTACAAGACCTTGTATGTACGTGTTCTCTTATTTCTCTTTGGGAAATATTTGGAAGTGAAGTGCCTGAATACTATGGTTAGTTGGATATTTAACTTTCACAGAAATTTTTAAATTGTTCTCTGAAGTTGTTTCATTTTATATTTCAACAGTAATGTATGAGCGTTCTATTTGCTATGTCCTCACCAATATTTAGTGTGCCAATCTTTTCAATTCTACCTTCTAACAGATGTGTACAACTTCCAGGTTACAACGCTTCTATTTTTCAAAACATTGTGCCTAATTTTGGTCCTTTCCATGTGAGTTTTAGAACTAATTTACAATTTTCACCAAAAAGCCTCCTGGGAGTTTGATTGAGATTTAATGAAATATATAAATCAATCTGGGGAGAATTGGCAATATTTGGGAGAATTGAATTAACAATATTTACTTTTCTGATCCATAAATAAAATGTAACTTCGCAATCTTAAATTTCTTTCAGCAAAGTTTTATGATTTCACTGTATGAATCATGCATACCTTTTGTCAGATTTATCCACAAACATTTCATAGTTTTATGCTATTGTAGTCTCAATTCCAACTTTTCATTACTAGGAAATGAAAACATTATTCTATTTCTAGAAGAAATACATTGGTCTGGTATCCTGCAAACTTGTTAAACCCATCAATTCTGCTAGTTTTTGTAGCTTCTATCAGCATTTTTACATACATGATTATGTCATCTGCAAATGAAGATAATTTTATTTCTTGGTTTTCAATCTACATGCCGTTCCTTCCTCTCTCTCTCTCTCTCTCTTTCTCTCTTTCTCTCTTTCTTCTTTTTGCCTTATTGTACTGGCTAGAACCTCCAGGACATTTTTTTTTCTTTCTTCTTTTTATATACATTTTATAGAGGTACTCCAGTACAATGTTGAATAGAAGTTGTTACAACAGACATACTCGCTTTTTACTTCTGTTCCAACAGGGAAAGTATCCACTCTTTCTCTGTTAAATATTATGCTAGCTCTAGGTTTTTTATAGATTCCTTTTGTCACACTGAAGAAATTTACTTCTATCCTAATATACTGGGTGTTTTTATTAGAAATGTATATTAGATTTTGCCAAATGTTTTTTTTCTATGCACATAGAGATGATCATATGTTATTATTTACTTTTGTTAAATTATATGATTGTTTTTAATGTTAATCCAACCCTGTCATCCTAAAATAAATCCAATTTGGTGACAATGTATTATCCTTTTGCATACTGTTGAATTTTTGATTTAATTTTTCTTAAGAATGTTTCTGTCTATGGTCATAAGGGATGTTAAGCTGTAGATTTAGTTTCTTGTAATATCTTTATGTCATTTGGTATCAGAGAAATACTGGCCTCTTAGAATGAGTTGGGAACCATTTCATCTTCACTTTTTTGCAAGAGCTTATAAAGAATGGGTTCAATGTTGTCTGTAAATACTTGGTAGAATTCTCCAGGGACCTATCTGTGCCTGAAGTTTTTTATGGAGAACTGTTTTTCACTACAAGTTGAATTTCTTTTATATATAGTCTATTTATTCTCAAGTGAGTCTTGGTAGTTTGCATTTTTACAAAGATTTTTGTCCATTTCATCTAACTGGTTGAATTTATGAGCATAGAGTGGTTTATAATATTTTCGTACTATTCTTCTGTCTGCAGGTACTAGAGTGATATTCTCTCCTTTATTCCTAATGTTAGCAATTTAGTCATTTCTCCTTTTGTCCTGATCTGTCTTGTTGGAAGTTTATTAGTTTTATTGATCTCAGATAACCAGGTTGGGTTTCATTGATTATCTTTACTATTATTTTTGTTTCCTATTTCTTTTTTAAAATTTAAATAGAGATAGCTCTTGCTATGCTACCCTGGCCAGTCTCAAACTCCTTGACTCAAGCAATCCTCCTGACTTGGCCTCCCAAAGTGCTGGGATTACACACATGAGCCGTCAGGAACCCAGCCAGTTTCTATTTCTTAGATTTCTGCTGTGATATTTATCATGTCCTTTCTCCTGCTTATTCTGGCCTTTATTTGTTCTTTTTCTAGTTTCTGAAAGTGGAAACTCATGTCATTTGTCGGAACCTTAACTTTTTTTCTAAGATGGATTATTTAGTGCTATACCTCTCTCTACATGCACTACTTTAGCTTCATCCTACAGATTTTAATATATTGTGGTTTTACTTTATTTTAGAGACAAGATCCCACTCTGTCACCCTATCTGTCACCCAGGCTGGAGTGCAGTGGTCCAACCACAGCTCACTGTAACCGCAAACTCCCAGGCTCAAGTGATTCTCCTGCCCAAGCCTCCCAAGTAGCTGGAACTATAGGCATGTACCACCATGCCCAGTTAATTTTTTAATGTTTACTTTTAGAGATGGGTCTTGTTGTGTTGCCTAGGCTGAGTGTTTTTATTTTTATTTGGTTCCAAATACTTTCTAATTTTCCTTTTCATTTCTACTTTGACCCATGGTTTATTTATAAATGTGTTATTTAATTTTAATATATTTGAGGACGTTCTAGGTATCTTTCTAATATTGATTTCTAATTTAATTCCACTGAGGTCACAGAACATACTGAGAATTTACTGAGACATGTTTTATGGCCCAGAATGTGGTCTATCTAATATATATTCTATTTGCACTTGAAAATAATGCATATTCTGCTTTTGGTTGGAATATTCTGTAAATGTCAATTAGGTCAAATTAGTTAATAGTGTTATGAAAGTCTTATATACTTACTGATTTACTACCTAATTATAGCTGTCTCTTATACACATCTAGATGTGTATAAGAGACTTATGAAAGTCTTATATACTTACTGATTTACTACCTAATTATAGTGTTAAAATTTTTGTTTCAGCAGTCAATTATTTCATGAA